CAAAGGGGCCCAGGAGGATGCATTTAGTCAAGGAGATGGATGTTGTGTATTTCTGATGTAGCAAAGGTGGAGAGGTGAATGTAGCACTGGAGGGAGATCGTCCCACAGCCTGTGACACATCCCTACAATTACTCTGTCTCCCACATTGATAAGCTTTATTCTAATAATGAAGTGTTCTGTGCTGGAGGAACGAAGACCTGGAGCAACCAAGGTGTCTGGGGTCTGGCTGCAGAGGCAGGGAAAAAAAGCCTGAGCTCAATTTGGCTGTAAGGAGACAGGGAATGGGCAGAAGGATGGTTGTTCTCAAACACAGCCTCCCACCCCTGAAATGGCTGAAATACGGCTTTTTAATTGGAAGTGCTGGACAAGAATCAGGGTGTGCCTTTCTGGAGCCAAATCATCACAAAAATTGTTTCTTTTAACTGAGGCTGAGGGCTGTATTTATGCAGAAATTATCTCCATGGCATGTGAGACATGAGTGTCTTCTGACTTAAGAAACTGCCTTTTCTTTTTTTTTTTTTTCTTTCTTTACCATCTACTTAGATTAAAAATGAATCCTTCCTGGAAGATATCAACAACTTGCTCAACTCTGGTGACATTCCCAACATTTACAGTCCTGAGGAACAAGACCAGATCATGACAGCTATGAAGCCCATTGTTCGAGATCTGGGCCAGCAGCCCACCAAGGCCAATTTGATGGCTGCATATGTAGCACGGGTCCGCAGCAATATCCACATGGTCCTGTGCATGAGGTACACTTCAGCCTACACCTCCATGCTTTGAATGCTAATTACTCCCTCCTTATCCTTTGCCTTTCATCACTCTGTAATGGGATCTTTATTTCCAAGCCCCAGCCTTTAGAGAAGGAGGAAGAATAGGAGATAGGAGTATGGTTTGCATAACACCTTCTCCTAGGACTAGAATTTTCTTTTTTTTTTTTTACTCTTTGCTGGTCTCAAGACTAAGTTTGAATTTTTCAAGAGTATGATTATGTGTGATTCAGATGAAACACAAAGTACCTCCTCCTCTCTGCACCACTGAGCCATTTGTTACAGACATATCTTGCTTGAATTTGGGGCTCAGTTGCACCACGTTTACTCATTAATCCAATGCATAGTCCATAACCAGCTTGCTCCCCTGCAGGAGGGATAACAGAAGGTACAGGGCATTCTCAGTGCAAGAACAAGTAGAAAAATCAGGGCCATGGTTATGGTTTGGTGATGTGATCTTTGCACACACCTGCTTGAAATAAACTTCAGAACACATTTATTTTTTTATTCCTTAAGTTTGTCCCTAGAGAGGCACCCATAAAACATCACCCTACTACTATCTTAATACTTCCAGAATATCCTGAGCCAAGGAATGAGCCCAGACATGCACCTTTGGGCACACAGCTCACTGCCTGAACTGTCATTCCCCTTTTCCCTCCCTCCCTGGGTGTATTCCTGTCCCTCTTGCTCCACAAAGAATCAGGGTGGTTCTGCAGAAGCAAAGGTATTTTGTCCTGTCTGTAGAGCCAGCTGTAACACATCTTCTCTGCACGCCTTGCCCTCAGCCCCATCGGAGAAGTGTTCCGTGCGCGCTTGAGGCAGTTCCCCTCTCTGGTGAACTGCTGCACCATTGACTGGTTCAATGAGTGGCCTGCTGAAGCCCTGCAGAGCGTGGCCTCCTCCTTCCTGAACGAGCTCCCACTCCTTGGCAGCGCCAATGAGGATACCAGCGGGATGGTACGTGCCACACGTGAGAATACTCTGCTCCCATGTGCTCAGTGTGCTGTGTCTCTGCATACACCAAGGCAACAGATCCACGGCTTACCTTCAGAATTGTCCTACCCTGGAGCAGAAATGTCCCATGGCAGGATCATTCAAATGCAGAGCTGCATAGCTTTTGTATGCCTTGAAACGGGCTTGGCCATTTGTCTGCCCTCTGTGGCACTAAAGCCCACAAACACACGTGAGCGCTGCTGTGACTGCATGGTTTGGTCCTTCATAAGTCCCTTTTGCTCTCTCTAGGCATAACATAGATTTGCCCATCACATCTTCAGTACTGACTGTTTGTTTCCTTTCTCCTTGTAGATTCAAGTATGTGTAGCAATCCATCAGAGTGTGGCAAAGAAGTGCCAGTTGTTCCTAGCAGAATTGGGCAGACACAATTATATCACTCCCAAAAGCTACCTGGAGTTCCTCAGCATCTTCAGTTCCCTTATTGGAAAGAAGCAACAGGAACTGAAGACAGCCAAGAACAGGATGCAAAGTGGCCTAGACAAGGTTTGTCCTTCATACCCAGGAAGGTTTTGGGCCCACCCCTTATGCAGTGGGGCCACCCTCTGAGCAGTGTATTTACAGCTGCAGAGATGCAGTGAGATGTCCTACACATGTCCTGTGTAACAGGAAAAAGCTCAGGCTAAAGCAAGGGAGAGCTATGCCTTCTGCCAGGGCCAGGCTTTCTGAAGGTCTGAGTCTGTAACAGCTCTAAAGAATAATGATCCCCAGTCTTTGGGGACCACAGGCCTCTGTGTAGCTCAGCTCTCAGGATGTTCCTTATTAACCTTGTAATTGAAAGCCCTCTAACAGAAACATTGTTCTGCTGCCTCATTGCCACGAGCTTTACGAAGTAATGCCTGACACGTGCAGGCAGCATTAGGGACTGCTGGTTGTAAGCACACACAGTGTCAGATTGTTGCTTAAGCAGGAGCCAGGGCAAGACCTGTGCTTTGCACAGCCCAACGCCTGGCAGGGAGCACCCTCCAGAGCAGCACAGCCCTTTCCTGGGGCTTTCCATGGCTGCTGCCCCTGCTCTGAGCTCTGCTTTGCTCCCACAGCTCCTGCGAACAGCAGAGGATGTAGCGAAGATGCAGGAGGAGCTGGAGTCCTCCCGCCCTCTCCTGGCACAGGCAGCCAAGGACACCGAGGCAACCATCGAACAGATAAAGGTACTGCTGCAGGCAGCCCTGCACTGACTAACTGACTGGACACCTGGACACAGGTGGAGGGGCCTGGCAGGGATTGTGCAAAATCCTGCTTGAAGTAATGGCATGGCAGATTTTTGTGCAGAGCTGCAGGTACAGCACAAACTGCCTCCTGCTGGGGTCCTGCTCTGCTGCTGGTGAGCACCAGTTGCTGCAGAGGCAATGGCTCCCATGCTCCTGTCTGAAAGCACCACCCAGGGTCAGTCAGCCCAGGCCCTTGCAAGCACAGTCTAGCAACACTAACACAATCCTGAGGTGGCCTGAGCAGCTCTAAGCCAGGCTCATTCCTCCACATCCCATCCCCAGGGAGCTGCCCCAGCTGCAGCCTGACCCCAGACCTCAAGGACCATCACACAGCCACTCGTGTCACTTCAGAAGAGGGAACTGTTCTGTGTTGGCTGTCACTGCCTTCTTTCCTTGTGTTCCTCCCTGCCTGTCTCTTGCTGTGAACAGGGACACTAACATAATACAGCTCTGAATGCAGAGTGGAAAGACTCTGCAACCACCTCAATTCCCACACAGCAGATAAGGATTTGGCTATATTCCACATTGTGCCTCCTGGTGGTGTTTTAACCCTTGGGGTGTACACAAGTGGCAATTTTAGAAACAAACCTCTAAGCAGATCTTCCTATTCCTCCATCTCCCTACAAATTTTGCAACCCTTTGCATCCTCTCCTTGTGCCAATAGGAAAATGGGCAGAGCAGCTAATTCCTGCAAAACTAACATCATTTCAGGCACAGCCAGAGCTGGAGCTTGTGGATGGTTTATACAGGCTGACAAAAAGCTTCTCCCAGTATGGTGCAGGAAGGGCATCCCCTGCAGCAGTTAGGTCCCTGAGGTCTGCTGGAAGAAGACACACAAGCTGCCAGGACAGCTGTGATCCTTTCCTGGCTGTGCCAAGCCAAGCTCTGCCTCCAGCAGGCTCCTGAGGCTGTTTCTGTTGCAGGTAGACACAGCTGTGGCTGAAAAGACAAGAAGTGCTGTGCAGGCTGAGGAGGCAAAGGCCAATGAGAAAGCTCAGACAGCCCAAGCCATTGCAGATGATGCTCAGAAAGACTTGGCTGAAGCCCTCCCAGCCCTGGATGCTGCTCTTGCCAGCCTGAAGAACCTCAACAGAAATGATGTTACAGAGGTAACTGTGTCAAGGGAGAGGGTGGAAGAGCTGGGTCTGGTCAAGGACAGCCATCTCCCTTTGCAGCAATTCCCTTTCAATAGGCTTGCAACATCCCCAGCCTTTTCCTCCATCCATCCATCCATCCATCCATCCATCCCCCTGGGCAGCTGCCCATGCAGCTCCTCACCCTCCCTCCTTCAGAAAGGCAGTGAGTGGCCCCAGGGTGTTTTTCTAGCATGTACTGGAGAGGCTGTGGAGGAGGGCTCACCCCACATGCCTGTCCACAGGGGTAGGTGCCACCAAGCAACCCCAAGTGCTGACTGCAACAAAGGGACAGAGCTGGCAGCACCCTGAACCTGCAGGCTCTTTGAAAAGGGATCCACCACAGGCAGAGGAGAGGCAGCAGGCTGAATTCAAGGAATACTGGCTTGAAATAGACTAGTGAGAGAAAGAAGGGTGATTGTGAACCTGCAAGCATCACAGCCAAGACAGCACACTCAATGAGTACAGATTTCACCACACAGGGACAGGCTTATTGCTCTGCAGTCGTGAGTAACAGGCCTTTTTATTCTCCCAAAACCACACAAAACCCCCTTACCAGAAAGTGGGGAAAGACACAGACAGTGTTGGTCCACTTGCCCCCAGCACCCATCCTTTTGTAGAGCTGGCACAAGAAGTGTCTTGTCTATCCAAATCTTCCAATGCCACAAGATGCATCAATTTCTTACACGTCATCTAAACCAGCCCCCAGAAACTCTGTATTTAAGGATTAAGCTCCTAGCTTCTTTTAAATCCAGCTGCCAGGTCATGACACCAGAGCAGAGACCACCAGAGTTCTCTCCCAGACCAGAACTAGGGACCCAGCCCAAACAAAAGAGGACACCACTACTGTGGCAGGGAGCAAGGATCCCTTTGACCTACTCCTTTCCATAGGGCAGCTCCCTCGGGGGTCCCTTGGAGGAGGCTGATGCCTGCTTCTCCAGCTCCTCCACCTCCTGCCTCAGCCTGTCCTCATTGCAGTAAAAATGCACATAAAGGCTGCGCTCTGCCTGCAGGATGGGGTCCTCCAGAGACCTGCGCTTCACCTCCAAGTCACTCAGGAGGTCTGCCAGCTTTTGGTAGAGGTCATCCTCCACAATGATCAACTGCTGCATCAGCTCTGAGATCTCCTAAACGACAGAGCCCAAACTCATGTGAACATGGAGAAATAAGGAATACCTGTGGAACAGCTCAGCCCCCCAGAAACAAACTACCCACCCAGCTCTGGCCTCCAAACCCTCCCAGTCTAAGGGGCAGAGGTGGCTTACTGGGACACCTTGGCTAAGGCACCCCAATCACAGTGAGAATCACCTTTGTCCCATAGCCAGACACTGCCTCGCTAGAGGGTTTTTGGGACAAGGCAAGGATCAGGCCCAGCTCCCTCCCTTCTGTGGCTGAGAGGCAGCGAGGTGCCCCCCCTGCACCCAGGGAAGATGGCAGGGGGTCCCCAGTGCTGGCCCTGCCACCCTGCAAGGCCCAGGGCAGGGGCAGTGCTCCTTACCGGCGAGGAGAGCTGCAGCTGGTTGGAGCTGCTGTACAGCTGGTGATAGAGCACTTCCATGGAGGACTCCAGGGCAGACACCTGGGGCAGAGGAGCTTCCAGCTGGGCTTCCAGTGCCCTCTTGTCCTGAACCAGCTGGGAGCACTTGGCTGCCAAGGCTGCATAGCTGCGGAAGGGCTGCTGCTTCTTCTGATCCTTCCCCATCAGCATGTCCCAGAGCCTGTGAAGGGGACAGCCAGCCAGAGCTGTGAGTGCAGCACCAGTACTGAGCAAGAACAGGGCTCTGAGGTGGTTGTGCACTCTAAGACTGGGATGCAAGCTGATGTGTGTCAGCAATGAGAAGACAGCCACTCCTGGTGAGCATCCCATGTCACAGAGCTCTGGGAAGAGCTCCATAAAGGAGCAGGCTGGCTCAAGAGCCAGTGTGTGATTTCTTTTTGGCAGACACTAGCACCAGCTGCTCCAAAACTGTGTAGGGAAGACTGAGAAGACCCAGTCAATGCAGGACACCTAGTCAGAGAAAGGTTTTGCTCTAAGCTGCTTGTGGTTTCTTGTGGCCCAGCTCTCCTTCTCCATGGCTGAGGACTGGCCTCTACACTTTCTACCTTAACATTCTAGAAAACACTTCTGTTTTCTGTACTCATTCCATTCTCCAAGCCCACACTTTGCTTCATCAATCCAAGCCAGCCAGAAAGAAGCAGATCTGGGGCATTTCACACCACCATGGAGTCACAGTGGCTCTGCACTGGCAGAACAGCACTGCTAGTCTATCTGGTAGCTTGGGTCTGCTCCCTGTCTCAGCCATTCCCACACCACTGTCCCTACACCCAGTTTGTTCTTCAAGCTCAGACCCCCCAGGCCCTTACCGTACAGCAGTGAGGTCTTTGGGGTCTATCCATTTGTGTGGATGACCCTTCTGGGAGGGCCTGGCACCTCTGAAGTCGATCTGCTGCTTGGGCAGCCTGGTCTGGGATTCCCTCATGACGGATTCGATCTTCTCCAGCCAAGCAGCCTTGTGCTCCAGCTCCTTTCTCTCCCGTTTCAGCTGGAGCTCCAGCAGCTCCAGACGGCTCTGCTGGCTCAACAGCCACGCAGCCGCCTCCTCCTGCCTCCTGGCAGTGTCCTGGAGCCGGGCCACTTGCAGGCTGAGGTGTCTGTGCAGGATGGGCAGGCGCAGGCGGCGTGCCTCTGCCCGCAGCAGGGCCGGCAGCCGCTGTGCCAGGGCGTGCGCGATGTCGGAGCGCAGGGCGCGGAGCTGCCCGGGCAGCACGGCAGCCTGGCTCTGCAGCTCGGCCTCCACGGCCTGCTGGGCAGGGGACACAAACACACAGCCCGGTGACACTGCGCTGCCTGCCCCTGCCACCCTCCCAGCTCGTCAGCAGGAGGCACAGGCAGACCCTGCTGCAGAGCATGTGGAGGAGTGGGGGCACTGGCCTACCTGGTTATCCTCAAGAGCTTCCAGAGTCCTCTGGGCCCACTCCAGCGCAGCACGGGCACCTTCCACTTTCGCTGCTGTGACTATAACCTCCCTCCTGGCACAGATATGAGCTGTCTCTATTTGGCTCAGCTCCTTCCAGAAGCTGTCTTGGTCCTCCAGCAGTTCATCTTCATCAGTCCCAAGATTTTTTGGGGTTGATGTTTTCTTGGTGTCCCTTCTCTCTGTGACTTCCTGACTGCCATCTCTCTTCTCACTCTCCATGCTTAACTTGTCTCTCTCATTCCCTCCCTCTTCTAGGAGCTCTGACTTTAAGCCTTGGACCAATTTTCCCCAGCTTGCTGGTGTCCCCCCACACAGTGTTTTTGTGCATTCTTCATAAGGAGTTCCTCTTCTTTCTTCTGGTATTTCATAGTATGAGTCCATTTGTGTCTCAGCCTCCAGACCTTCCTTCAGGCTGCTCTCTCCCCGTGCACTTGCTTCCCAAACATCTGGAGCCTGAACACTCTCTGGTAGGACCTGCTGGATGAAGCTCTCAAATGCATCAGTGGCCTGTTGTTCTTGCTCCAGGTAAGGAGCAAGATCCATCTGGCACAGCAGTGTTGGCAGCTGGCCCATCTCCATGTTCTCAGGACACTCTGACAGCTGCTTTGCAGCCTCACTGACCTGGCTCAGGACAGCTCTGGTTTTGAAGATCTTTGCTTTCAAGTCCATATGAGCCACCCTCAACTCCTGCTTCACCACTTTCTCTTCCTCCTCCAAATACTTCTTCTCGTGCTGCAGCTTATTTGTCCAAGCCAGCAGCTTCCTGTACCTCCAGAGCTGGCGGTCCCGGTGGTGCTTCAGCTCCTGAAGCTCCTGCTGCAGGGCCTCTTGAGAGGACCCCTCATCCACTATGGAGCTCGGGAGCTGCAGGACCTGGCAGCACATCTGCAGGGCCTCCTCCAAGGCATCACCTTCCAGGATGGGTTTGCCTGCAGCCAGCAGGGCCTCATAGGCCTCCACCTCAGCTGGGCTCAGCACGTTCTCCTCACCCACCGTGCTGCAGAACCACTCGAGGAACTGCTTTGTCTCAGGGCAGTCAAAGAGCCACTCAAAGTCCTTCTCACAGAGGGTGTCTGCGTGGGGGTAGATCAGCCTCAGCTTTGCCATAAAGTCTGCTGCTCTGTTGACAGTGTCCAGTGGGAAGGCCTGGGAATACCTCCAGCTGAACATGGCAAGGATGGTCAGCACTAGAAGGGAAAAAGCAGGAGTCATCCTCAGAGGTCCTGACACCCACAGTCATCCCAAGGGTGCTGCAGCAGCACTGCTAGGTGCCTGCTTGAGGGGAGACTCAAGCAGTCTCTCCACAAGTGCTGAAGATCAAATCATTGCTGTGGTGGGGTACAAGACAAATGAGAGCCCACAGAACAAGGGAGAAAGCCTGTGTCCCATTTCCATACAGCCTTCTCCCTAGGGCCATACAGATTTATCTCCTCTGCCAAGACATATTCAGCCCATAGGGACACACCTATTACAGTAGCAGAGCAGGCTTTTTCAGCCTATGTTTAGTTTCTCCATGCCCTTTCTGATAACCAACTTTCCCTTCAAATGCCTCTCTCCTTCCTGCCTGTGTATTGCATCCTTGAAGTGTCCTGCCTCTGGTCCCAGTGTCCTCTGGCCCAGCTGAGAGAGGGATGAGCACCCCATCTCCCAGAGAATCAGGTTAACCCCCTGTTTCCCAATTGGGTTTTACAGGTACGAGCCCTGCAGCGGCCTCCCCCTGGTGTGAAGATTGTGATTGAAGCTGTCTGCATTATGCATGGAAAAAAGCCCAAAAAGGTGGCAGGAGAAAAGATAGGCACCAAGGTGGATGATTACTGGGAGCCAGGCAGGGCCCTTCTCCAGGACCCAGTACAGTTCCTGAACAGCCTGTATGATTATGATAAGGTGAGCAGTAGCAGAAGGAAGCTGTGGCTGGGATCAGGTATTGCCTCACACACCTCTTCTCACAACAGTAACAAACTGAGCTCCTTGTGGGCAACACCCTTCAGCATGACCAAGGACGAGGGTGTATTTGGCCTGGAAGCCATCATGTGAGTTGGGTACACTTCATTGCCCTGGGCAATGGGACCCAGACACACAAGTCTTCACATTCTGTCCCCCTGCTCTTTTGTGGGAAGGAGCTAGATAGAAGTGGTATGAGAAAGGATTTACCCAATCCCACAGTTGTGTCTCTCAGACCTCAACATGCAGTCATTTGATTCCTCTTGCTCCAGCATGATGCCTTGACCATCCTATCAGGTCCTGGGTCCTGCTGCCTCTGGGGGAAACCATTAGGAGATCAGTGATGAGCATGCTAGAGATCTGACTGAGAAGAGTCTCCTTCTCTCCCACCGTTCCTTGCAGGACAACATTCCAGACAGTGTCATCAAGGCCATCCAGCCCTACATTGACAATGAGGAGTTCCAGCCAGCTGCCATTGCCAAGGTCTCCAAAGCCTGCACCTCCATCTGCCAGTGGGTGCGTGCCATGCACAAGTACCACTTTGTGGCCAAGGTCGTGGAGCCCAAGCGGGTAAGAAACTGTGACCCAGTTACCTTTGGTGTTCAGGAACACAGCACTGGCAGCTCCCTTCTGCAGGAGCTGCTGGGAATCACTGCATTCTGCAGGTCAGGATGCAATGCCTTCGTCATCCAGGGACTGGATTGACTGAGATATTGAGATATCAGTAGCTAACACTTATCAGCAAGAGCTTTTAAGGAAAACCAACTCTTGCTTCAAGATCTCTGGCTTTTGGGGGAAGAGCCTGACCACATTCCCACTGTTTCCTTGTGCATGTCCCCAGCAAGCCTTGCGGGAGGCAGAGGAGGACCTGCGTGCCACCCAGCTGGTCCTTGACGAAGCCAAGCAACGCCTGAAGGAGGTTGAAGATGGCATTGCTGCCCTGCAAGCCAAGTACGAGACCTGCAAAGCCAATAAGGAGGAGTTGGAGAGGAAGTGTGAGCAGTGTCTGGAGAGATTGGCCCGTGCTGATGTGGTAAGGGACAGTGCTAGCTTCTGCCTGCTTGTGTGAGGCAACTCAATTCCAGATCAAGCAGCACAGTGGTGAAAACATCCATGTGCCTGCAGCTCATGACAATCCTAGGCTGAAGCTGCCTGGCCTGATCCCAGCAGCTCAACAGGACTGGAAAGCTAAGCTAGCCAGGCACTGATGTAAAAAGCTGCTGTCCTCCCATGCACAGCTTCCTCAGCTAACAATAGGTCTCCAGGACATCTGAAAGCAGCCCAGTAATCCCAGGACTGAGTACTTAAAGCCAAACAGAATTCAGAATGTGTCAGGGGCCACCCCAACCTCTGGTCACCAAAGTCACCTGCAGCATTACCCAGAGAGCAGCAGGTCCAGGACACAAGGTTAGACCTCAGAGCAACTCTCACACATGCAACTTCTCCCACAGCTCATCAACAGCTTGGCTGACGAGAAGGTGCGCTGGCAGGACACTGTGGAGAGCCTGGATGACAAAATCACCAACAGCTCTGGGGATGTGCTGTTTGCAGCTGGCTTTGTAGCCTACCTGGGCCCTTTCACAGTAAGTGTGCAGTGGTCAGCATGCAGTTTACAGCTCTGCTGTCCTGGCCAGGGAGAAAGGAATAGGACACAGGGCTGCGAGATCCCTCCCAGATCTCTGTCCACTTGTGCAAGAGGCTGCACAGGGCCCATTTGAATGGGAACAGGAGGGTTTAGATACTCACAATAGCACAATAGACTGGGTACAACTTAAAGAAGGGCTGAGATGGTGTTTCTCATGGCAGGGAGACTACCGTGCAGCACTGTCCAAGGAGTGGATGGAGGAGCTGGCCAACAATGACATTCCCCACAGTGAGGATGCAAGCCTCATCAGCACCCTTGGAGACCCTGTGGAAATCCGCTCCTGGCAGGCAAGTTTCGAAAAAACCCAAACCAAACAATACTTGAGGAAGAAGGGGCCTCAGGTAAAGTCCAAAACTGTCAGCTCAGCACTCACCAGGATCCCCTGGACCAAAGGACAGGCCCCCACACCAAGCAGCTGGATAATGGCCACACTGCGGAACTGGAATTGCTGCCAGGCCTGGGCAGCAGCAAAAAGGGGATCAGCCTTGCCCTGTAAGGCTTGTCCTTGGCCATAGCCTGCCCAAGCCTGACCCCACAGCACAGCCCCACCCCAGGGCTTGGCTCATAGCAGAGGTATCTTCACCACCATGCCCTGTCCACCCACTGGGAGCACTCAGGGCCAGGACAGCAAGGGCTTCTCTCTGGTCACCTGTGTGCACTACCAGGTGTGCCAACAACTTTTTCTATTCTGTTAGATTGCTGGTTTACCCAACGATGCCCTGTCCGTGGAGAATGGGGTAATAACCCGGTTCTCCCTGCGCTGGAATCACTACATAGACCCACAAGGACAAGCAAACAAGTGGATCAAGAATCTGGTAAGAGCTGTGGGGAGGAAAGCCAGATCTGCCAGGACAGGGGAAACAGCTTTCTGTCACGAGCTGTGCAGAGCAACCTCAGGCTTTGGGCTCTAGAGCTGCAAAGCCCCATGCTGTGCCAGCCCAGCCCAACCAGCACCAGACAGTCTCCACACCCACATTCATCCCAGGTGGATTTCCCTTCTCAGGGAAAGAAGCGTAGGGCAGGAAGAGCCCTCATATAAGCAAACAAGGCAGCAAGCAAATCCCATTCCTACTCTGAGGGGTGTCCACTAACATTCTGGGAACCTTCACCTCACAAAACAACACCAGCATCTCCCAGAATGGTTTTCAGTTTTCTAGCACAGAGGGATGAGGGAGGCATACCTGGCTGCTGAGAACATTCCCTACTGCCAAAGTGCTGAAGACACTGACCAGCACCTCTTCTGCCCTTTTAAAGGATCAGGCAGGAAGCTGAGGCAGCTGCTCCTGTTTTGCTCCCTGAGAGCTTTTCCCACCCACCTGCTCTTACTTTGTAGGCTCTGACCTGAATTAGCAGTGTGAGGCTCCAGAGGGGTATGGGTCTGTGAAGGAGCTGGTCCCTATTTCCCCCTTTTCTGCTACCTCATTCAGCTGTCTCTAGTTCCTGCTGATGTGGGATAAACTTGCCAAAATGGCCAAAGTCTAGCTGAGCAAGAAAACCTATTATTTCTGCTGCCCAGAGAGTTAAATCAGGCCAGTGAGAGGTGTACTGTGCACCAGAGCTGGATGTGAAGGTGGCAGGACACCACAGAAACCCTGCCCTGCCCTGCTGCCTTTCAGGAGAGGGAAAACAGCCTGGAGGTGGCCAAGCTGAGTGACCGGGACTTCCTCTCCACTCTGGAGAACACCATTAGCTTTGGGAAGCCCTTCCTGCTGGAGAACGTCGGCGAGGAGCTGGATCCAGTCCTTGAGCCTGTCCTGCTGAAAGAGGTCTGGTGTCTCCCCTTGGCAAGGGGGGCAGGGGGTGCCTGGCTGAGCTGTAAGGGCCCAGCTGGCCAGGGTGCCATGGGGTGGGGTGCATTTGTAGGTCTCCATGGGCAGACAGAACTCACATGGATGGGTGAGTCCCATGCCTTGGCCAGGGCTCCAACACCCTGACAGCCTCCTGCTCACACTGGTGCTCTGCCAACAGGCACCTCTGCTGGGAGGCAGGGCCATGAAACAGCTGCTGTCTTCATGTTTAGGCCTTTAGTTCCACAGGGAAGCTTGGAGCTCCTCTGTCCTGAGAGCCTTCTGACTCTCCTGACTGCAGAGTCCAGGGCAGAGCAGGATGCCTTCCCTCACAAGAGGGAGCCATCCCAGCTTTCCTGTATTTGTCCTTCTCTGGTACAGACCTTCAAACAGCAAGGCAGCACCGTGCTGAAGCTGGGGGATACAGTGATCCCCTACCATGATGATTTCAAGATGTACATCACCACAAAGCTTCCCAACCCTCACTACAGCCCTGAGGTCTCCACAAAGCTCACCCTCATCAACTTCACCCTCTCACCCAGGTACCTGCTTTTACCCCGTTAGTTGCCCATGCTGCTCAGCCTCATTCTGCGGTCCTCAGACCCTCAGGCATGTTGTCCCCTCACCTGCCACCCCCATTTCCATGGCTTTTGTTGCAGTGGCTTGGAGGACCAGCTGTTGGGAGAAGTGGTGGCTGCAGAGCGGCCTGACTTAGAAGAAGACAGAAACCAGCTAATTGTCAGCAACGCCCAGATGCGTCAGGAGCTAAAGGTGATAGAAGACCAGATCCTCTATCGGCTCAGCACTTCTGAGGGAAACCCTGTAGATGACTTGGAGCT